AGCAGCATCATCATCAGCAGCATCATCACCAGTAGCATCATCAGTAGCATCATCATCAGCAGCATCATCATCAGTAGCAGCATCATCAGTAGCATCATCAGTAGCAGTAGTAGTAGCAGCATCAGTAGTAGCAGCATCAGCAGTTGTAGCATCATCAGTAGCATCATCAGTAGTAGCATCATCAGTAGTAGTAGTAACATCTTCATCACTAGCAGCAGCATCAGTAGCATCATCATCAGTAGCAGCATCATCAGTAACATCATCATCAGTAGCAGCATCATCAGTAGTAGTAGCATCAGCAGTAGTAGTAGCAGCATCAGCAGTAGTAGTAGCATCAGCAGTAGTAGTAGCATCAGCAGTAGTAGTAGTAGCATCAGCAGTAGTAGTAGCATCAGCAGTAATAGTAGCATCATTATCATCAGTAGTAGCAGCATCATCAGCAGCAGCATCATCAGCAGCAGCATCAGCAGTAGTCATAGTAGTAGCATCATCAGTAGTAGTAGTAGCATCAGTAGTAGCAGCGGCATCATCAGTAGCAGTAGTAGTAGCAGCATCAGCAGTAGCAGTAGCATCATCAGTAGTAGTAGCATCATCAGCAGTAGTAGTAGTAGCTGTAGTAGTAGCATCATCAGTAGTAGTAGCATCATCAGTAGTAGCATCATCAGCATCGTCATCAGCGGCATCATCAGTAGTAGCATCATCAGTTAAAGCAGCATCATCATTGTTGTGTATGTGTCTGTGTGTGTTTCTGTCTGTCTGTGTGTGTGTCTGTGTGTGTGTGTGTCTGTGTGTGTGTGTGTCTGTGTGTCTGTATGTGTGTGTGTGTCTGTGTGTGTCTGTGTGTGTGTCTGTGTGTGTCTGTGTGTGTGTGTGCTGTGTGTGTCTGTGTGTGTGTGTCTGTGTGTGTATGTGTGTGTATGTGTGTCTGTGTGTCTGTGTGTGTGTCTGTGTGTCTGTGTGTGTCTGTGTGTGTATGTGTGTGTGTCTGTGTGTGTCTGTGTGTGTGTCTGTGTGTGTCTGTGTGTGTCTGTGTGTGTGTCTGTGTTTGTCTGTGTGTGTGTGTGTCTGTGTGTGTGTCTGTGTGTGTATGTGTGTGTCTGTGTGTGTCTGTGTGTGCTGTGTCTGTATGTGTATGTGTGTCTGTGTGTGTGTGTCTGTGTGTGTATGTATGTGTGTGTGTATGTGTGTGTATGTGTGTGTATGTGTGTGTCTGTGTGTGTGTCTGTGTGTGTCTGTGTGTGTCTGTGTTGTCTGTGTGTGTGTGTCTGTGTGTGTGTGTCTGTGTGTGTATGTGTGTGTCTGTGTGTGCTGTGTCTGTGTGTGTATGTGTGTCTGTGTGTGTGTGTCTGTGTGTGTATGTGTGTGTCTGTGTGTCTGTGTGTGTGTGTCTGTGTGTGTGTGTCTGTGTGTGTGTGTGTCTGTGTGTGTGTATGTATGTGTGTGTGTCTGTGTGTGTGTGTCTGCGTGTGTGTGTGTATGTGTGTGTGTATGTATGTGTGTGTCTGCGTGTGTGTGTGTGTGTCTGCGTGTGTGTGTGTCTTACTTTGACACTTGAGTCCGACGACTTTGCCAGACTTACAGACGGAGCTATGGGGGTAAACACACGGGAGGAGCGCACACAGCACGCATGAGCCACAGACAAAGGTCCCCCGTAGAGCCTTAACATACTGTAGGGACAAGTGCTGTTAAAGAGTAGCAGCAGCACCTATGAAGGCCGGCACGGCACGCGAGGGGGTGGGTGGCCAGCACCACGCCCGGCTGCCTTTGTCTCTCTCCCGGTGATGACATTTGAGGCTGAGTCGACCCAGGGGAGGCCCAGGACCCGCTCCAAATATTCGCCGCTGATGTTGGCCGTGAGTGCCAGGGGAGTGGTGGCACAGCGGTTGTGATGCTACCAGCCACTCACTCACCCACTCACTCACCTACTCACTCACTCACCCACATACTCACCTACTCACTCACTCACCCACTCACTCACTCACCTACTCACTCACCCACCTACTCACTCACCTACTCACTCCCTCACTCACCCACATACTCACCTACTCACTCACTCACCCACTCACTCACCCACTCAATCACTCACTCACCCACTCACTCACCTACTCACTCACCCACATACTCACCCACTCACTCACTCACTCACATACTTACCTACTCACTCACTCACATACTCACCCACTCACTCACCCACATATTCACCTACTCACTCACTCACCCACTCACTCACCCACTCAATCACTCACTCACTCACTCACCTACTCACTCACCAACATACTCACCTACTCACTCACCCACTCACTCACCTACCCACTCACGCACCCACTCACCTACTCACTCACCCACATACTCGCGAACAGCACTTGCCCCTACAGTCTGTTAAGACTATACGGGGGACCTTTGGTTGTTTGAGTGAGTGTATAGCAGGTGGTGAGCGTATAGCGTGGTGAGTGTACAGAGTGGTGAGTGTACAGAGTGGTGAGTGTACAGAGTGGTGAGTGAGTGGTGAGTGTACTAGTGGTGAGTGAGTGGTGAGTGTACTAGTGGTGAGTGTAGTGGTGAGTGTACTAGTGGTGAGTGAGTGGTGAGTGAGTGGTGAGTGAGTGGTGAGTGTATAGAGTGGTGAGGGTGGTGGTGAGTGAATGGTGAGTGAGTGGTGAGTGAGTGGTGAGTGTATAGAGTGGTGAGGGTGGTGGTGAGTGAGTGGTGAGTGAGTGGTGAGTGAGTGGTGAGTGTATAGAGTGGTGAGGGTGGTGGTGAGTGAATGGTGAGTGTACTAGTGGTGAGTGAGTGGTGAGTGAGTGGTGAGTGAGTGTACAGAGTGGTGAGTGAGTGGTGAGTGTACTAGTGGTGAGTGAGTGGTGAGTGTACTAGTGGTGAGTGAGTGGTGAGTGTACTAGTGGTGAGTGTAGTGGTGAGTGGTGAGTGAGTGTACTAGTGGTGAGTGTAGTGGTGAGTGAGTGGTGAGTGAGTGGTGAGTGTACAGGTGGTGAGTGTAGTGGTGAGTGTACTAGTGGTGAGTGAGTGGTGAGTGTACTAGTGGTGAGTGAGTGGTGAGTGAGTGGTGAGTGAGTGGTGAGTGTACTAGTGGTGAGTGAGTGGTGAGTGTACTGGTGGTGAGTGAGTGGTGAGTGTACTAGTGGTGAGTGAGTGGTGAGTGAGTGGTGAGTGTACTAGTGGTGAGTGAGTGGTGAGTGAGTGGTGAGTGTAGTGGTGAGTGTACTAGTGGTGAGTGTAGTGGCGAGTGTACTAGTGGTGAGTGTAGTGGTGAGTGAGTGGTGAGTGAGTGGTGAGTGTACTAGTGGTGAGTGTAGTGGTGAGTGAGTGGTGAGTGAGTGGTGAGTGAGTGGTGAGTGAGTGGTGAGTGTACTAGTGGTGAGTGTACTAGTGGTGAGTGTACTAGTGGTGAGTGTACTAGTGGTGAGTGTACTAGTGGTGAGTGTACTAGTGGTGAGTGTAGTGGTGAGTGAGTGGTGAGTGTAGTGGTGAGTGGTGAGTGAGTGGTGAGTGAGTGGTGAGTAAGTGGTGAGTGTACTAGTGGTGAGTGAGTGGTGAGTGTACTAGTGGTGAGTGAGTGGTGAGTGAGTGGTGAGTGTACTAGTGGTGAGTGAGTGGTGAGTGTACAGAGTGGTGAGTGAGTGGTGAGTGTAGTGGTGAGTGTACTAGTGGTGAGTGAGTGGTGAGTGAGTGGTGAGTGTACTAGTGGTGAGTGTAGTGGTGAGTGTACTAGTGGTGAGTGAGTGGTGAGTGAGTGGTGAGTGTACTAGTGGTGAGTGAATGGTGAGTGAGTGGTGAGTGAGTGGTGAGTGAGTGGTGAGTGATGGTGGTGTACTAGTGAGTGTACTAGTGGTGCGTGAGTGGTGAGTGAGTGGTGAGTGTACTAGTGAGTGTACTAGTGGTGAGTGAGTGGTGAGTGAGTGGTGAGTGTACTAGTGGTGAGTGAGTGGTGAGTGAGTGGTGAGTGTACTAGTGGTGAGTGAGTGGTGAGTGTACTAGTGGTGAGTGTAGTGGTGAGTGAGTGGTGAGTGTACTAGTGGTGAGTGAGTAGTGAGTGTACAGAGTGGTGAGTGAGTGGTGAGTGTACTAGTGGTGAGTGAGTGGTGAGTGTACAGAGTGGTGAGTGAGTGGTGAGTGTACAGAGTGGTGAGTGAGTGGTGAGTGTACTAATGGTGAGTGAGTGGTGAGTGTACAGAGTGGTGAGTGAGTGGTGAGTGTACAGAGTGGTGAGTGAGTGGTGAGTGAGTGGTGAGTGAGTGGTGAGTGTACAGAGTGGTGAGTGAGTGGTGAGTGTACTAGTGGTGAGTGAGTGGTGAGTGTACTAGTGGTGAGTGAGTGGTGAGTGTACTAGTGGTGAGTGAGTGGTGAGTGTACAGAGTGGTGAGTGAGTGGTGAGTGTACTAGTGGTGAGTGAGTGGTGAGTGAGTGCACTAGTGGTGAGGCTGGTTTCTCACTTGAAGCTTGCGAGCTGAGTGATCTGGCTGCTGTTGAAGTTCGTGGTGAGCACGAGGTGAGTGAGTGGTGAGTGAGTGGTGAGTGAGTGGTGAGTGAGTGGTGAGTGAGTGCACTAGTGGTGAGGCTGGTTTCTCACTCGAAGCTTGCGAACTGAGTGATCTGGCTGCTGTTGAAGTTCGTGGTGAGGACGAGGTGAGTGAGTGGTGAGTGAGTGGTGAGTGAGTGGTGAGTGAGTGGTGAGTGAGTGGTGAGTGAGTGGTGAGTGTACTAGTGGTGAGTGAGTGGTGAGGCTGGTTTCTCACTCGAAGCTTGCGAGCTGAGCGATCTGGCTGCTGTTGAAGTTCGTGGTGAGCGCGAGGTGAGCGAACCGCATGGGGGCGACCTTCAGGGAGCTCACCAGGGCGAGGTCACCACTCACAAACCTACAGCATCATCAGCAACATCATCATCAGCAGCATCATCATCAGCAACATCATCATCAGCAACATCATCATCAGCAACATCATCATCATCATCAGCAACATCATCATCAGCAGCATCATCATCAGCAACATCATCAGCAACATCATCATCAGCAACATCATCAGCAACATCATCATCAGCAACATCATCATCAGCAACATCATCAGCAACATCATCATCAGCAACATCATCAGCAACAACATCATCATCATCAGCAGCATCATCATCAGCAGCATCACCATCAGCAACATCATCATCAGCAACATCATCATCAGCAACATCATTATCATCATCAGCAGCATCATCAGCAACATCATCATCAGCAACATCATTATCATCATCAGCAGCATCATCAGCAACAACGCCATCAGCAACATCATCAGCAACATCATCATCATCAGCAATATCATCATCAGCAACATCATCATCATCAGCAACATCATCATCAGCATCATCAGTATCATCATCAGTATCATCATCAGCAACATCATCATCAGCAACATCATCATCAGCAACGTCATCATCATCAGCAACATCATCATCAGTATCATCAGTATCATCATCAGCAGCAGCATCATCAGCAACATCATAATCAGCAACAACATCATCATCAGTATCATCAGCAGCAACATCATCATCAGCAACATCATCATCAGCAACATCAACATCATTAGCAACATCATCATCAGCATCATCACACAGAGATTCTCTGCAAGCCATGTGGCCACCATGAGAGATCCGTTCATGAGGCCATCCACAAATACAAACACCGAGACAATTTCAACCGAGAAGATGGATTCTGGCTCAGCAATCATTGGAAGGATTTGATCAACCATTTCGGGTCTTGTTTGATTGTGTTCATGCTTGCGGTGACTTTCAGACCGCATTCCATTCTCGCCATCTCCCCCCTCTTTTTAAATCCTTTATATTAAGTTCGCTTGCTTGCTTGCTTGCGCGCTTACGACCGTGCAAATCTTTCGGTCGTTTTTTTATTTAAATCCTTTATATTAAGTTCGCTTGCTTGCTTGCTTGCGCGCTTACGACCGTGCAAATCTTTCGGTCGTTTTTTTATTTAAATCCTTTATATTAAGTTCGCTTGCTTGCTTGCTTGCGCGCTTACGACCGTGCAAATCTTTCGGTCGTTTTTTTTATTTAAATCCTTTATATTAAGTTCACTTGCTTGCTTGCTTGCGCGCTTACGACCGTGCAAATCTTTCGGTCGTTTTTTAACCCACTTCCCGTGATCCAATCGAGCTGACATTTTCCACACAGACTCGTTGTGCGTGACAATTTATTTTCGTGAAAATTTTTTGCAAAATTTTACACTTTTTAGGAAAAATAAATTATATTTAATTACCAATTGCTTAATGGTGGCAGGCAATCATCTGACCCATAGGTGGCAGCCATCTCAAGCCAGAGGACGAGAGGACTCTAGCCGCCACGCATATAAAGGATTTATAGTGAAAAACTTTGTTTTTACGGGTTAATTTTTCCGAACACAGATGGACTCTTCCATCTGACCAACTGCCAAATCGCTGTCCATGGTGCTGACGTTAAAAAGAAAAAAAAACGCCACTTTTTTCAAATTTTCTTGCTGTGGTTTTCACACCTGACGCCGATGATTGCTTGTGTTGCAGTCGAAACGTCGTGAGAATTTTATCGTTTTATATATTTGTATTTTTATTTTATTGTTTCCCTTCCACGTGACTTTACCGATAGAACCAAGGATATGAATCCCCGCAGTCTACGAAAGCTTTAAATCAAAATTCTTGTTGTTGTTGAGGTAATTGTTGTTGAAGTAATTGCTGTTGTTGTTGAGTTATCTGTTGTTGTTGTTGAGGTAATTGTTGCTGAAGTAATTGCTGTTGTTGTTGAAGTATCTGTTGTTGTTGTTGTTGTTGAAGTAATTTTTGTTGAAGTAATTTCTGTTGTTGTTGAAGTATCTGTTGTTGTTGTTGTTGAAGTAATTTTTGTTGAAGTAATTTCTGTTGTTGTTGAGGTATCTTTTGTTGTTGTTGAAGTAATTGTTGTTGAAGTAATTGCTGTTGTTGTTGAGGTATCTGTTGTTGTTGTTGAGGTAATTGTTGCTGAAGTAATTGCTGTTGTTGTTGAAGTATCTGTTGTTGTTGTTGTTGTTGTTGAAGTAATTTTTGTTGAAGTAATTTCTGTTGTTGTTGAGGTATCTTTTGTTGTTGTTGAAGTAATTGTTGTTGAAGTAATTGCTGTTGTTGTTGAAGTATCTGTTGTTGTTGTTGTTGAAGTAATTTTTGTTGAAGTAATTTCTGTTGTTGTTGAGGTATCTTTTGTTGTTGTTGAGGTAATTGTTGTTGAAGTTATTACTGTTGTTGTTGAAGTATCTGTTGTTGTTGTTGTTGAAGTAATTTTTGTTGAAGTAATTTCTGTTGTTGTTGAGGTATCTTTTGTTGTTGTTGAAGTAATTGTTGTTGAAGTAATTGCTGTTGTTGTTGAGGTATCTGTTGTTGTTGTTGAGGTAATTGTTGTTGAAGTAATTGCTGTTGTTGTTGAAGTATCTGTTGTTGTTGTTGTTGAAGTAATTTTTGTTGAAGTAATTTCTGTTGTTGTTGAGGTATCTGTTGTTGTTGTTGAAGTAATTGCTGTTGTTGTTGTTGAGGTAATTGTTGTTGAAGTAATTGCTGTTGTTGTTGAGTTATCTGTTGTTGTTGAGGTAATTGTTGTTGCTATCGCGGTTATGGTTGTGGTTATTGCTGTTAACATGGTTGTTGTTGGTGGTTGTTGTAGCCCATGGCTCCATAGTCGTCGCTATTCTAATCGTTGTTGAGGCCATTGTTGTGGCTATCGTGGCTATGGTTGTGTTTATTGTTGTTGACATGGTTGATGTTGTTGTTGTTGGTGGTGGTGGTGGTGGTTACCCGTTGTAGCCCATGCCTCTGCACAGCTGCGCTCTGTAGTTCGAGGTCCACGAGTCGAAGCAAAGCGGCGACCATCGCTGGAACCTGTCCCTCAGGTAGACGAGAGACGCGTCTCCATTAAACTGCACTGTGGAGACACGGGGAGACACGGGGAGACACGGGGAGACACGGGGAGACATGGGGAGAGACACGGGGAGACACGGGGTGAGACACGGTGAGACACGGGGAGAGACGGGGAGACACGGGGAGACACGGGGAGACACGGGGAGAGACGGGGAGACACGGGGAGACACGGGGAGACACGGGGAGACACGGGGAGACAGGGTGAGACAGGGTGAGACATGGGGAGACATGGGGAGAGACACGGGGAGACACGGGTAGAGACACGGGGAGACACGGGGAGAGACGGGGAGACACGGGGAGACACGGGGAGACACGGGGAGACAGGGTGAGACATGGGGAGACATGGGGAGAGACACGGGGAGACACGGGGTGAGACACGGTGAGACACGGGGGGAGACACGGGGAGACACGGGGAGAGACACGGGGAGACACGGGGAGACACGGGGAGACACGGGTGAGACGGGGAGACACGGGGAGACACGGGGTGAGACGGGGAGAGACACGGGGAGACACGGGGTGAGACGGGGAGAGACACGGGGAGAGACACGGGGAGACACGGGGAGAGACACGGGGAGACACGGGGAGACACGGGGAGACACGGGGTGAGACGGGGAGACACGGGGAGACACGGGGTGAGACGGGGAGAGACACGGGGAGACACGGGGAGAGACGGGGAGAGACACGGGGAGAGACACGGGGAGACACGGGGAGAGACACGGGGAGACACGGGGAGACACGGGGAGAGACACGGAGAGACACGGGGTGAGACACGGTGAGACACGGTGAGACACGGGGAGACACGGGGAGAGACACGGGGAGACACGGGGAGACACGGGGAGAGACACGGAGAGACACGGAGAGACACGGGGTGAGACACGGTGAGACACGGGGAGACACGGGGAGAGACACGGAGAGACACGGGGTGAGACACGGTGAGACACGGGGGGAGACACGGGGAGACACGGGGAGAGACACGGGGAGAGACACGGAGAGACACGGGGAGAGACACGGGGAGACACGGGGGGAGACACGGGGAGACACGGGGAGAGACACGGGGAGAGACACGGGGAGACACGGGGAGACACTGGGAGAGACACGGGGAGACACGGGGTGAGACGGGGAGACACGGAGAGAGACGGGGAGACACGGGGAGAGATACGGAGAGACACGGGGTGAGACACGCTGAGACACGGGGGGAGACACGGGGAGACACGGGGAAAGACACGGGAAGACACGGGGAGACACGGGGAGACACGGGATGAGACGGGGAGACACGGGGAGACACGGGGTGAGACGGGGAGAGACACGGGGAGACACGGGGTGAGACGGGAAGAGACACGGGGAGAGACACGGGGAGACACGGGGAGAGACACGGGGAGACACGGGGAGACATGGGGAGACATGGGGAGAGACGATGAGAGACACGGAGAGACACGGGGTGAGACACGGGGAGACACGGGCAGACACGGGGAGACACGGGGGGAGACACGGGTGACACACACACACACAGGTGACACACGCACACAGGTGACACACACACACAGGTGACACACACACACAGGTGACACACACACACAGGTGACATAGACACACAGGTGACACACGCACACAGGTGACACACACACACAGGTGACACACACACACAGGTGACACACACACACAGGTGACACAGACACACAGGTGACACACACACACAGGTGACACACACACACAGGTGACACACACACAGGTGACACACACACACAGGTGACACACACACCGTGAGACATGGGACACACACACACACAGGGACACACACACACACACACGGGTGACACACACACACACTGACACACACACACACAGGGACACACACACACACACAGGGACACACACACACACAGGGACACACACACACGTGTGACACACACACACACAGGGACACACACACACAGGGACACACACACACACAGGGACACACACACACACAGGGACACACACACACACACACGGGTGACACACACACACACTGACACACACACACACGTGTGGCACACACACACACAGGGACACACACACACAGGGACACACACACACACAGGGACACACACAGGGACACACACACACACACGGGTGACACACACACACACTGACACACACACACACGTGTGACACACACACACACAGGGACACACACACACAGGGACACACACACACACACAGGGACACACACACACACAGGGACACACACACACACACGGGTGACACACACACACACTGACACACACACACACGTGTGACACACACACACACAGGGACACACACACACAGGGACACACACACACACACAGGGACACACACACACACAGGGACACACACACACACACACGGGTGACACACACACACACTGACACACACACACACGTGTGACACACACACACACAGGGACACACACACACAGGGACACACACACACACACAGGGAACACACACACACACAGGGACACACACACACACACACGGGTGACACACACACACACTGACACACACACACACGTGTGACACACACACACACAGGGACACACACACATAGGGACACACACACACACACAGGGACACACACACACACAGGGACACACACACACACACGGGTGACACACACACACACTGACACACACACACACGTGTGACACACACACACACACAGGAACACACACACACACACGCGGGTGCTTTGTTTAACTCTCGCACTTTGTAGTGGCGTCGTGTTTGTGTTTGTAACTCGTCGTCACCCTCTGACCCCCCCGTGGCCCCCCACTGGTGTCTATGAATCAGCCCCACTGGGTGGGGGGGGGGGCGTGGAGACAAAGGCGGCCGGGAGTGGCGTTGTCACCACGACCCTCGTCACAAGCGCCGTCGCACTTGCCCCGGGAGTTCAGTGGAGGCTACACTTGGGGGGGTCGGTTCAAGGGCACCCTTTGCCTTTGGTGCCAGCAGAACAATAGAACAGTAGAATAATAGAACAGCAGAACGATAGAACAGCAGAACAGTAGAACAGCAGAACAGTAGAACAGCAGAACAGTAGAACAGCAGAACAGTAGAACTATAGAACAATAGAACAGCAGAACAATAGAACAGTAGAACAGTAGAACAGCAGAACAATAGAACAGTAGAACCGTAGAACAGCAGAACAATAGAACAGCAGAACAGTAGAACAGCAGAACAATAGAACAGCAGAACAATAGACCAACAGAACAATAGAACAGTAGAACAATAGAACAGAAGAACAATAGAACAGTAGAACAGCAGAACAATAGAACAGTATAACAATAGAACAATAGAACAGCAGAACAACATAACAACATAACAATAGAACGGCAGAACAACACAACAATATAACTATATAACAATAGAACAGCAGAACGATAGAACAGTAGAATAATAGAACAGCAGAACAGTAGAACAGCATAACAATAGAACAGTATAACAGTAGAACAGCAGAACAATAGAACAGTATAACAATAGAACAATAGAACAGCAGAACAACATAACAATAGAACATAACAATATAACAGCAGAACAACATAACTATATAACAATAGAACAATATAACAGTATAACAATAGAACAGTAGAACAATAGAACAATAGAACAGCAGAACAACATAACAATAGAACAACATAACAATATAACAGCAGAACAACATAACTATATAACAATAGAACAATATAACAGTATAACAATAGAACAGTAGAACAGCCGAACAACATAACAATAGAACAATAGGCCAGCAGAACAATAGAACTACAGAACAATACCTCCGGTTGCCAGCAGCCGCGAGGAGGCCCCGCAGTCGGCGCAACTCTCGTTGCTCGAGTTCCCCTGCGACTGCACGGGGTTGGTGCACGAACCGTCGGCACACGAGCTCACGGCCAGCCCCTTGAGGGCTGCGGGGAGGGGGAGGGGGGTGAGGGGGCAGTGGGAGGGGAGGAGAGGGGTGAGGGGGGGGTCAGGGGGGGTGGGAGGAGGGTGAGAAGGGGGTTTGGGGGTGTGTTAGGGGGGATCAGGGGGGATGGGAGGGGGGTGAGGGGGATAAGGGGGGTGGGAGGGGGTGAGGGGGGTGAGGGAGGGGGGGGAGGGGGGGTATGAGGGGGTCGCACGGCAAACCACGTCCCGTGTCTGCGTCCCCACGTGACCCCGCGTGTCTGTCTGCGTGACCCCCCGCGTGACCCCGCGTGACCCCGGGTGACCCTGCGTGTCTGTCTGCATGACCCCGCGTGACCCCGTGCGTGACCCCCCGCGTGACCCCCCACGTGACCCCACGTGACCTCGCGTGACCCCCACGTGACCCCACGTGACCTCGCGTGACCCCCCACGTGACCCCACGTGATCCCCACGTGACCCCACGTGACCCCCCGCGTGACCCCGCGTGTGACCCCGCGTGACCCCGCACCCAGGAGGCAAGCGAGCAGCACTGCGGCGCCGAGCAGGAGGATGGCCGCCACTCCCACCCCGACGACGATCAGGCGGCGCTTGCGGCGGCGGCTGCGATTGGTCACCTGGGAAGTGGGGGGCTGGATGGACACGGGGGGCTCTGGGGGGCCACGGAGGGGGGTGGGGGGGGGGAGAAGAAACACAATCTCGTCTCTCTCTCTCGCTCACATTTCTACATCTTCACTGTCTCATCACTCTCCTGGCGTTTGCGTCTTTCTCTCATCATCATCACGGTGGCTAGGAGATGTTAACTACCTCGCCTGGTCTACAGGAGGTCGTGGGTTCGATCCCGACTCTGACGCCTGCTGCTGTATATTTGGAGTTTGCGTGTCTCTCTCTCTCTCCCTTGTCGCATGGATGTATCTGCGGGTCCCCCTCCACATTTAGAATTGAGCGTTTTGCGTATTTGGCTGCTGCTGCTATAAATGTCCACGTGATCAGGTGGCTTCTAAAAAAGAGACATTTCCAGCTCAGTAGGCCTGACCTGGCAAACAAAAAATAATTGCCGGTAAAGTTCGAGCGTATCTGTCCATGTCTCTCCGATCTCAAATTGTCTCCCGCGTGTCTCCCGCGTGTCTCCCGCGTGTCTCCCGCGTGTCTCAACTGTCCGTGTCTCGGCTGTCCCTTGCAGTGCCCCCCGCTGCCCTCACGTTAATTATGGATGACAGCTCGTTTACCTGAGATCCTACGCCCCTAATACAGACAAAGATCCCCCGTCTCTAGTCTGCAACAGACTGTCTGGGGGGCAAGTGCTGTTGGCGAGTAGCTGCAGCAGCTATGGAGGGCTGGAACGGCACACGAGGGGGTGTTGGCGGTGTGGTCACCACCTACCACCACGCCCGGCCGCCTTTGTCTCCCCAGCGGCGATGTTTACACACCGCACCAGGTACTCATTTGAGGCTGAGTTGACTTAGGGGGAGGCCCAGGACCGGTTCAAATAACACTGGTCAAGACACTTTTTTCTGGCATAAGGTATTCCAATGGTTTTAAGGTAATTTTGGAGTGCTGATTCAAAATCTGGCATCAGTTTTTGTCTATCACATCAGGTTTTTGAGATATCGAACAATGCATTTTCAATAAAAACTGCAGAAGAAAACTATTAAATCAATGTGGATATCTACATAAAATGATATTATAAACACACTATCCTAAAAATACAGCACCATATTTTAACACTAAAGCAGTCACTGACTCGCAACAACTTGCAATCATAAGTGACAGAGTTAATTTCTGGTAAAATCAATGAAAATGGGGAATGCCGATAGCATAAAAATTAACCCGTTAAAACAAAGTTTTTCACTATAAATCCTTTATATGCGTGGCATCGGTTTTATTTTATTATTCATTTCTGTTTTTCTTGAGAAAGAGTTTCATTTTTATCACATTGGTATTTTAAATTAAATATGAAATTTTTTTTCCCTAAAAAGTGGAAAATTTTGGAAACATTTTTTCACGAAAATAAAGTGTCACACACAACGAGTCTGTGTGCAAAATGTCAGCTCGATTGGATCACGGGAAGTGGGTTAAAAAACGACCGAAAGATTTGCATGGTCGTAAGCGCGCAAGCAAGCAAGCAAGTGAACTTAATATAAAGGAAATAAAAATGAGATGTGATGGAGCAAATCTGAGATCAGATTTGGAATCAGCACCCTGAAATTAGTCTAGAACAGCTGCAAAAGTCCAGGCCAGAAAAACATGTTTTTTTTGTTGTTGACCAGTGTCATCGTCACTGGTGGTGTTGGCCGTGAGCGGGAATCGAACTCGGGTCGCCGGGTTCGGAGCGCCAACGCAGACACGCACGCACAGGTGCAGACGCAGCGTCAACTAGCCACCAAGTGACAGGGATGTGACCACGGCGCTTGTGCCAGGCTAGGTGCACTCCGAAGCCTTCACTTGAATGATGGAAGGCTTGCTTTTGGCAGGTCATGGGGCAGGCTCAGGTGTTATGGGGTTGATTGATGTGACATGCAAGGTGCAGGAGGTCACAGGACAGACCCAGGTGCCATGGGTTGACTGCTTGTGCCAGGCTAGGTACAGGAGGTCACGGGACAGACCCAGGTGCCGTGGGTTGACTGCTGTGCCAGGCTAGGTGCAGGAGGTCACGGGACAGACCCAGGTGCCATGGGTTGACTGCTGTGCCAGGCTAGGTGCAGGAGGTCACGGGACAGACCCAGGTGCCATGGGTTGACTGCTGTGCCAGGCTAGGTGCAGAAGGTCACGGGACAGACCCAGGTGCCACGGGTTGACTGGCCGAGATGACTGGCTGATGCACCACCTGTGCCCCCTACTGTGCCAATTTGCTGCGTTTTATCCGCCCGGCGCTCCGCTCGTTGTTGTGAGCGTCGCTCCTCCGCCCTCCGTTGTTGTTGCTGGAGGGCGACTGCCTCCAACTGCCCAGTAGCGTCCTTCACGAGCCTCCTCCACAGAGGCCGATCTTGACACCGCTGGTACCAGTCATCGGCAAGTCCACTCAGCTCCACGTCCTCCTGTACCACAACACTCCATCTCTTCTCTAGCCCGTGCCGCGCCCGTTAAGCCCCCTCTATCCGGCCGAACAAAAGCTGTTTCGGCATGCGGTGGCTGGGCATGCGGGCTACATGACCCAGCCAACGCAGCCTTGCCTGCCGGTGGAGGAGATCACATTGTAATCTTGGTTTTACCCAAATACCCTAAAACACGCTTTTCCAGTATTTGGCTGCTATGCATTTCTACATCGTTTCTAAAAATAAGTGGCCAATTACACCCAACGTCAGTTGAGCGTGGACAATTAGACCCAAGCCGAAACATAACATATAAAAAAGAATGTTTAAAAATATCGTCGGGTTGCTCGGTCAATGGCCTACAGGGTCAACGGCGGCGTGGTGTATTATGCAAATATGGCCGACTGTGAGGGCGGGCACAAGCCGGCGTGAGTAGGTTAAACGTTGAGTTTTATAAGGGCACCACGGGGTGACCAGCCCCTCCCCACCCAGCCCCAACCCTCCCACCCAGCCCCACCCACCCTCCCCACCCAGCCCCTTCCCACCCTCCCCACCCAGCCCCTTCCCACCCTCCCCACCCAGCCCCACCCCTCCCACCCCCTACCCAGCCCCTCTTTTCCCACCCCCCCACCCAGCCCCTCCCCACCCTCCCCCTCCCCACTCTCCCCACCCAGCCCCTCCCTCCCCACCCAGCCCCTCCCTGTACGACGGACGGACGGACACAATAGTCCCCTGTGAGCTGGTGGAACCAGTGGGTTGCTACCAGTATAAAGTTTGATTGATTGGTAAAATAAAATGTAACAAAAATACCCATAATAGAGGGGGTGGAGGGGGTTGGATTAGATCGCGTCGATATAAATGTGTCGTGAAACCCGCCACCATACCCCCAAAACACAAAACAGCAGCAAGAAAAACCACCACCCCCATCCCTCTTTAAGGGATAATATCGTCCGCGAAAAACCTGCTACGTGGCAAACAAAAGAACGTTTTTTTTTACAAAAAAGATATATATAGAGAGAGCGTTTTGTTTAGATTCTGTTAGCGTGGGTCGTCGGCAAAGGGAAGCGTTGAATGTGTCCTAACCGGCTCGGCTGGATTTGCATGAAGAGCAGGGAAACCGGTGGATGATTGCGCACACTTTGAATGTGGAAACAGGCCGGGCCGGTTCCCAACGAGGCGCGTGAAAGAGGCAAAGTGGCGAGGCAAACATCGCTCTCTCCCCGTTCAACGTGTGGTAGTAGTAGCTACACGTGTAGTAGTAGTAGTTACACATGTAGTAGTAGTAGCTATACATGTAGTAGTAGTAGCTGCTACACTAGTAGTAGTGGCTACACGTGTAGTAGTAGTAGCTACACGTGTAGTAGTAGTAGCTACACGTGTAGTAGTAGTAGCTACACGTGTAGTAGTAGTAGCTACACGTGTAGTAGTAGTAGCTACACGTGTAGTAGTAGTAGTAGCTACACGTGTAGTAGTAGTAGTAGCTGCACGTGTAGTAGTAGTAGCTACACGTGTAGTAGTAGTAGTTATACATGTAGTAGTAGTAGTAGTTACGCGTGTAGTAGTAGTAGCTGCACGTGTAGTAGTAGTAGTTACACGTGTAGTAGTAGTAGTAGCTACACGTGTAGTAGTAGTAGTAGCTACACGTGTAGTAGTAGTAGCTACACGTGTAGTAGTAGTAGTAGCTACACGTGTAGTAGTAGTAGTAGCTACACATGTAGTAGTAGTAGCTGCACATGTAGTAGTAGTAGTAGCTACACGTGTAGTAGTAGTAGCTGCACGTGTAGTAGTAGCTACACGTGTAGTAGTAGCTGCACATGTAGTAGTAGTAGCTGCACGTGTAGTAGTAGTAGTAGCTACACGTGTAGTAGTAGTAGCTACATGTGTAGTAGTAGTAGCTACACGTGTAGTAGTAGTAGCTACACGTGTAGTAGTAGTAGTTATACATGTAGTAGTAGTAGCTACACGTGTAGTAGTAGTAGTAGCTGTACGTGTAATAGTAGCTACACGTGTAGTAGTAGCTACACGTGTAGTAGTAGTAGTTATACATGTAGTAGTAGTAGCTACACGTGTAGTAGTAGTAGTAGCTGCACGTGTAGTAGTAGTAGTTACACGTGTAGTAGTAGTAGCTACACGTGTAGTAGTAGTAGTTATACATGTAGTAGTAGTAGCTACACGTGTAGTAGTAGTAGCAGCTACACGTGTAGTAGTAGCAGCTACACGTGTAGTAGTAGTAGCTACACGTGTAGTAGTAGCAGCTACACCCAGCCCCTCCCCACCCTCCCCACCCAGCCCTTCCCCACCCTCCACGACGGACGGACGGACACAATAATCCCCTGTGGGCTGGTGGAACCAGGAGGTTCCTACCAGTATAAGAATAGGTTTGAACCTTTCTAGCCATAATAAACCAGTCGTAATAATAGGGCTTTTCCCCTTTTTCTGGCAGCCAAACTGAAGCCTTTTAACAAGGATTAATGTCTGCATTAGCCACAATACTTGCAGTCAAAATGCAAACAAAACACACACTATGATAATATATTGCCATTAAATTTTGATTTAAAGCTTTCGTAACTGCAGGGATTCATATTCTTGGTTCTTTCGGTAAAGTCACGTAGAAGGGAAA